AAAACAGACGAGCTGGTTGCTTTGCATCAATTTATTTAAAATAGATATGTATATATATGCATGTATGTAGATACTTTAACTCTAATTATAAAGTGACAAACAATCAATTTATCTAGACCTTTGATTCAAATTTATTAACTTTAAAGTCACAATTATATGTGCATAGTATCATACAGGTGAATGTCAAATAATTAAAGTAAAAATGTTATAAAAAAGGTTTCTACAAATATATTTCAAACCCTTACACACATAATTTCTATGAATACAGTCGAACGTGGAATAAAAATAATTTCACTATATTCATTAGTTTTTAGTTAAATATAATTTTTTTACAGTAAAAAATATAACTAAAGGTATTTGACCCAAAATTATTTGATGAAATTAAATAATTAACTTTTTAGTCATAATCATATGTGCATAGTAACATATATATACACATGAATGTCAAAAAATGAAAGTAAAAATATTATAAAGAAGGTTAATAAAATATATTTCAAACCCTTACACATAATTTCTATGGATACAGTCGATCGTGGAATAAATATAATTTCACTATATATACAATAATTTTTTTAAAAATAGAAATTATAACCAAAGGAATTGGGCCCAAAAATATTTGTTGAAATTAAGTATTTGTTTTCATATAGTTGAAACACCTTTTCCCCCCAATGGTTCCTTAAATTAAGCATCAAACATTGAGGATTTAATTTTAAACATGTTACAGAAATTAGTCAATGGTACATACTGAGAGTCAGAAAAGTTGTTGAAATAGCCTTAATGATGACGATAAGAGATGATTATTTCATTGAAGAAAACCATAATTTCTTATATTTAATAAGCATGGAGAATGCTGTTTTAAATTAACAATGACATGTAGGATTAAATATTTATAATACTTAGTTTTTTGTCCAAATGTACAATGCAGTATTATACATAAAATTCAAATACCAAAAAATTGGCAGCTTATAAGCAAATTTTTACTCTCAAGAGCCAATGCCTCTCATCATAATTCAAAAAAATTGTAATTCTGAATTTTTTTAATTTCTAAAATAACAAGTTGTAACTACATCCAATATTAAAATCTTATCTTTCCTCAAGGAATATGAATCTACAATACTTTGTATGTTCAGTGAATGACACATATCCCTTTTACTAGACCTATAGTCTTCCTTTTTACAAATTATTAATCGGTGATCATCAATATAACATTGCTTAGATTTTCCTGACTGGACATTGTATATAATGAATTGCATACATAATCATTAGATAATTGTTTATGGTGGCCAACAGAACAGATTTCCAGAGTAATTTTTCAGACTTCTCTTCACAGCCTGTTATTGAAATGTATATTGATTCTCTCTGCATAGAAGTTAAATTAAACAGTCTACCGTTGAGGTAAAATATTAAATCCATCTGACAGGGTAAATCTTGGATTCAAAACTATAGGCTGAAAGAAAGAAAAAAAGTAATACAGCTTTATATACATTTTAACAAAATGTGAGTGACTTTCTTGCGGAGAAACATTGTCACTGTAAATTAAAGATAATTTCTTCCCTCAAAAACTTAACAATTTTAAACTTGTGTATTAATGATAGGCAAAACTTAGACCAATTTGGGGATTTGTTAGGTGCCGTAAAAAATTCATACAATCACCCATGAGAATCATTGGGAGTTTGTGCATTAATCATGGTCTTATGCATATTGTATGACAAGGGGAAATGATATTCTTCAACTAAAATACTGTAGGTTTCTAGATGGAGCAGTAAAGGTTATTTGGTTTTTTGGATTACCTATAATTTTTACTATTATATAGACTGTGAATTGTGCAATAGGTTACACAATCCTCTTTTATGTGTATTCACAAACTTAATACAGTGATTAAAATAACTGTACAGTGGGGATTTGTTAGGTGCCGTAAAAAATTCATACAATCACCCATGAGAATCATTGGGAGTTTGTGCATTAATCATGGTCTTATGCGTATTGTATGACAAGGGGAAATGATATTCTTCAACTAAAATACTGTAGGTTTCTAGATGGAGCAGTAAAAGTTATTTGGTTTTTTGGATTACCTATAATTTTTACTATTATATAGACTGTGAATTGTGCAATAGGTTACACAATCCTCTTTTATGTGTATTCACAAACTTAATACAGTGATTAAAATAACTGTACAGTGGGCATAATACATAATTATTCTGATATTCAACTATTTATATACTGTAAACAGTGAACCTACCTTGTGCATGTTCTGTTAAGCATAAACTTGCTCCCAGTTTGCATACTGCTGCTTACAATATTTCCTGTAGAGAAAGAAGTGAGATTTAGTCACATTTCAATTACTGCATTCTTTCACAAGACTAATGAAAATAATAGACCCCTATAAAACTTCCCCTAACCCCAAACTCATCAACAAAATATTGGCCACACTAATATCCCTGCATAGTTCATATAGCTAGAACCATCAACAAAATTCATCTGAGGGATAGACAAAATGAGATCAACAATAATTAAATTTAAGTTAAATTATAAGCCATAACAACATTTATAGAACTTAGGCAAAAAATGAAAAACTATGTTTTTCTGAGATGTAAATACACATTTAATAAAGTGAAGGATTGACATTAGGGGCAGCAATGAGACCATCATATTACGTATTGACCTAATAAGTTGTCTAAATGTTTTCAATAAAACACATTTTAATGATAATGTGAGTCCTAATTTAAATAAGTTTATTATAACAAAGCTATTTGTAATTTCATTGGGTATCTTATTAATGTGTGGACAGACATGTGTGTTTTTTGGACTCACTTGCTTTTATCATTGACTATTTTTCTAGATAGTTTAAGTGCAGTCTGTCAGATATACGGTAGTCTTAATTTAGTGAAAAACACAATATGTAAATGTATGTAATCTGCAATAATAACAAAATAATCAAATAATTATAAAATAATAAATAAATAATGATATAAAAATAATAGATTATACTAGTCCGGAGAGTTTAAGGATTTTAAATATTTTTCTATTTTAAATTGTTTCACAAATTTTTGTGTTACATTTTTTTAAATAATTTAATAAAAGAAAACAAACCTAACACTTATTGTTTAAATCCCTGATTGTAAAATGATTTTTTTCATGTATAAACTTTCTTTTCAAACTATTTTTATATGTATTTTATTCATTGTACATTGTTTGATATATTATACCATGGCCAAATGAATATCCCTTTGGATAATAAAGTATTTTTTAATTGAATTTGAATTTAAATGAATTGGAAAAATGTGAAGTACTTTGAAACAAAGGTGCCAATGTTACTGCATAATAATATATAACCATTTATGTTGAAATATTGGAGAAAAAACCTTAAATTAAATTAGGCCAAATAAAAAAATACTTGTTTAG